TAAAATTCCTTAAATATAACTATTCATTTATTGAAAACTCTGTAGAGAATGCCTTATCTTTTGAGCCAGAGATACACACTACTGAAAAACTGCTTTCAAGGGGAACACCATGTAATAAAAGAAACAGGCTCAGAATCCCTAAATTCAAATCTCGACTCAGGACATACTGGCGTAAGTACTTTAGATCACAGTTATTCAACTTCCCTCAGCTAAAGTTTCCTTGTCGTCTATTTAAAAAAGAGGGTGAAGGCTCAAGTAGAGTCACGTTGTGGAAGCTCCCTGCAAACACTAAATCATAACACATCAAACACACCCGCACTTTTCAGAACCAACTTAAGTCCTGGATATATGCCATCTCTCAACCCCTAGTGGATATCTTTACCTCTGAGAGGTAGGAGGCCCTTTTAGGGGCTTCAAAGGCTGGGGGCCTCATGGAGCAAGTAACTGCCCACTACTCTCACCATATTTCACTGATTTGCAGCCCATTTACCAAAAGACTTAGTGAAACTTTGTGAACACTGGCTCTTTCAGTTCCCACAGAAACTTTACAATCTGAATTTCTTTTAGAGACTCAAAGCTTTAAAAAAAGAAAAAAACACACAGCGTTATGTTCCTCCCCACCCCACCTTCAATCTGAAGAAAATAAAGCAAAAGGAAATCAGGTAAAAGTAAAACAGAAAATATGTATTACTTTTTAAATTAGAATAAATAAATATGACATTACAAAGCTAAAATATAATGCATTCTGGTTGGTAATAAGAAAAAATTTTCAAGGTCTACTTAGTGGCGATTAGGAAAGAATAAGCAACTAATGCCCTGAATCACTTAAAAATGCACCTCATGAAGCAGAATAAACAAGATGACCTTCTGAAGCAGCTTCTACTGCTAAGATGCCAAACTCATATGTACCTATTCAAACCTTTACTGCAATTCTGCTTTAGATGCTTAATTACAAACACTGTTTTATTCGTTGTTAGTATTTGCTGCTGCTGTTAGAGAATAGGAAAAGTATTTTCTTGGTCTTTGGTTTCCATATTTGGTAGTATGGTGCAATCAATATACGAAGACATGTTACACAAAAATAGCTGGATGTTTTTCACCTAATATACTTTAGAACAAGAAGCTTCTTAGAAAGGTAAAATAAGAAATGAAAAGATGCAAGGCTTTCCAAGCATTCACAGCAACAGAAAGGAGAGCAGACAATATCCAGGAGAAAAAGAGACATAAGGAGTCAGAATGTGGTTCAGTAAAGAACAGCCCCTTGTAAAAGCAGAAAAGAACAAGAGAGTCAAGTGTGTCACAGAATACTGCCCACTGCCAAGAAGAAACTTAAGGGGAACAGTCCATTGTTGAAGGACAAAAAAGGACGGACAGCCTCTGAGATCCAGTTTCTGCATCTGTATAATGAAAAAACATCAGCACGACTCTGGGAAGGCTCTGGGAATCGACACGCTGCTACGTTAAGTGAGAATCCCCGCACCCTGGCTGACTTTCTGATCCTCCAAAACGGGCAGTTTCCTCCCCTCCCTCTAAAGACAATCACAGAACATCAAAATGAAAGAAAAGCTTAGATACCGGCTTGTCCTAAATTAATAAATCAAATAATTTAAAATGCTGTAACCTATACAAAATGTCTAAATTATACAAAAATTAAAAGGTAGTGAGATATTAAAAGGTAGCTGATATTACCTCAACGACCTTACCAATGTCAAGCCTTACCAGTGCAATGGAAATAACCCCTTTGCACTGCTGTAGCAAGGGCTTCTTCCCTCACCAACATCTGAGCAATCCCTCCAATTAGTGAGAAGTACATGTAAGTTCTCTCTCCTTGCTGGAAAGGATAATGGGTTAGCAAGCAGAGACAGAAATCTGTGCTCCAAGTTGATCATAAAAATCAAAGCTGAAACTCAAAACATTTTCTTATAGGAATAATAACAATGGTTAGATTTTCGAGCTAGCAAAATAAAGAAATAACACAGCTAACATACCACTTTTAGTTGACTATCCTCATTTTATGTACAATATTTAAGCTAACATACTGGGTTGGCCAAAAAGTCCATTAGTTTTTTTCCATAAAAGACACCTTTTTCATTTTCACCAATAACTTTATTGATTTGGATATGTTGAGTATATTGGCTATCTCCCACTACTGGCTTCTAGTGGGTGCTGCCAAACATCTTCCAATGCATAAGACAACCCCAAAGCAAAGGATTATTTGGCCAAAATGTCATCAGTTCCAAGAAACTTTGCAAACCACTTTTGACATGTTCCATCAGTCTCTATACAATACACTGCACAAATCTTTTATTTTGTTTCAGTTGCACTTTTACTTTTCTTGATATAATAAAACACAATATGCCAAACATGTTGCATATTTTCTTCCATCTTGAATATTAAAATGGCTTCACCAAAACTCACCAATTTTAATGTTTTTTTAACATGCACTGACACAACAATCTAATAAAACTGTTTTTGAATGACGTTAACTAAGCACTACTAGAGCCGTGGTACAGAAAAAAACTAAACAAACTTTTTGGCCAATCCAATAAATTGAACTGGATTTTATGAAAAGGCCTAGGAATGTAGCTCTAACATGCTTACAGAAAAAAAAATGTATCCTGAGTTTTAAACAACTGATACAAGAACTTTCGGACCATAACTGAGGAAAGAACAGTAAAAGAAAGGGACAAGAGAAGAGAGTTGCCTTGTTTGACAGAAAAGATAGCTAAATTATACTAAATCACAGCTGCTCATGTCTTCAGAGTAACTATCTCTCATCTCACACACATTTAAGTCCTTCCCTGTGCCCATGATGTACCCCTCCACAGCAAATAACAATTTGTCTAAAGCTAAACCCAAGTCCAAGGAAATCAAGAATTTCATTCCATCTTCCTCAACAACTTGCACACCAAATCCTAGTACAACGCTGAGACTCACATATGCCAATCTTAATTACCTTGCACTGCCTCCTTCTTAGAACACACCTGAGGAAATAGCTACCTATGTTATTATTGCTCTAAGCACTAAGGGAAAAAGAAGAAATTAACATTTATTAAGCACCTGGTAGGCTCTCATTTGATTTTCACAACCCACTTGGTAAACATTATCCCCTTTTTGCACATTAAGAAAATGGTGTTTGGCCCTGGCCAGGTAGCTCAGTTGGTTAGAGCATCATCCTGATACCCAAGGTTCTGGGTTCAATCCCTGATCAGAGCATATATGAAGCTCAAGCAGTGAATGCATCAATAAATGGAACAACAAATCAATGTTTCTTTCTCTCTCTCTCTCTCTCTCCCTCTCTTTCTCTAAAAAAAATCCATAAATTTTTTCAAAAAGAAAGAAAATGATGTTCAATAACTTGCCCACACCACTAGTAAATGGAAGCCAAGACTCACAACTCTGCAAACTCCACTAATCTAGGGTTCCTTTCCGAAAATGAAAGAAATTAGGTGCCACTGGAGTTGGCCACTTTCACATCAATTATTAATTACTATAGTTACCCAGTTCTCAGAGCAAGTTACGGAGAAGACAGACGGACTCTTCATTTCATGCAATCTACTCAGGGTTTAGGGAAAACTCTAAGAGAAAGGACAGAACATCCCCAGAAGTGAATTCCTCCTCTGGGCATCAATTCCCCATTCTGGCTCAGGACAGACTCAAACACTAGGGCTCCTCCTATCACCTCCACCCTAGCACATGTTACTACGCCAGAACAGCACAGCTAATTAGAACCTCACAAAGCTACCTTTCAAAACAAGATTATCTACCAGTGCAGATCTCACTACAGGTCCTTAAGTTTCAGTCAGTCCCGTTTTCACACAGTTTGCCTGGAGGTATCCCTAAACGTTTGTTACCACTGCCAGTCTAAAAAGTGATTTTGTACTGAACTGTGAACTAAATCTTGATTTAGCTGCAGTAAAAATGGGAGCCAAAAATCTCTGTTTAGACAGATCACCCATCTATACTTTTCCATTACAACTTAGGAGGTGAAAAACCGCACAGCCAACATTTTAAATCTGTTTCTAACCGAACAAGATGACAGGTGACTTAACAATAATGCAATGTGACTGAGCTCCTCTATCATGTAATTGCCACAAAACACTAACATAATGAAGATCAAACATTCAATTCCTTATCTAATACGCTTTTAAAACATGTTAAACGGCATAAGAAGTATTTAGCTACTGTAGTTAAACACGTGTAACATTTAAAAAAGAGGATTCTTAAGGAGGGTAAAACGGCCTCATCTAAAAACAGGTTTGTGGTGGGAAAATGGAGACAACTGTATTCGAACATCAATAAAAAAGTAAGACTAAATAAATATTATTTATACGCTCAATTTAAAATTAAAACGTTATGTTAAATAAAAACAGGTTTCTTCATTTTTAACAAAACCGGGAATATAATACACAAATATAATATTTAACATCAACACATGTCTAAAATCACTTCCCATTGTAATTATTTGTAATACTTAAGGCAAAACAAAACGGATGAAACATTCTGAAGTCCAATATCTGCAAATTTTGAATAAGGAAAATGTCAACGTTTTTCATATTTTGTAATGTTCCAGACCAAAAATAAATATTGGGCTCATCAACCCAGGTGCGGAAACTCGTTAAAACTGAGGTTTGGGAGCGGAGAAAACAGATTTCCAGAATTTGGCTTCTCGGCTACAAAACTGACCAGGGCCCCGCAGCAGCTCCCGCGGGCCGCCGCCGTGCCCTGCCCGCCCCTCCCTCCCGCCCGCCCGCCGCACCTGCCGCGCCCGCGCAGCCAGCGCCCTCTGCCGCCCTGCCGGGAGCCTCTGAGGCCGATCCCACCCCCGCGCCCGGTACCCCGCGCCCGCGCCGCCCCCACTCCGCGCTCGCCCCGCGCCGAGGCCGCGCAGCCGGCGGGCGGGGTCGCGCGAGCGCGAATCGAGGCGGGGCCGGTCCGGGGCCGCGAAAATCCGCGCGTTCCCCGAACCCCCGACGCGGCCGGGCCGGAGCTTCACCTACCTACGCCGTATTTCTCCTCCTCCGTGGGGGTCCACATGGCCGGGCCGGGCGCGGCCCCGCGGGCTCCGCGTCCGGACAACAGCGCGGCGGGGACGGCCGCGGGCCCGGCTGTGGCGCACCGCGAGCCGAGGCGGGGGCGGTCAGGCGGCGCGGGGCAGTGGGCGGTGCATCCCTCGCAGGCCGCCCGGGATGCTGCTGCCGCCGCCGCCGCCGCCACGTCCGGACCGCAAGGCTCCGCGGGCGGCCCAGGGGTCCCCGGCGGCGCGGGCCAGGGCTCGCCACCTGTGCGTCGCTGCTGGTCCCGAGCTGCCGCTGGTTCCTCACAGCTCCGCTGCTCAGCTCCCCGCGCCGCCGCGGTTCGGCTCGCCTCGGCGGGCTCGCAGGACGCCCGCGCATGCGCTACTCACTCCCTGGCGTGCGGGGGCTCGCGCCGCCCGGGCTCGCGCCGCCCGATCCCGCGCGAGAGCCCACCCGCCACCGCCGCGCGCCGGCGGAGGGAAATCCGCGAGAGGCAATTGGGCAGCCCGGAGGAGGTCAGGACTGGCTCTTGGCAACCCAGGGCTCTCGGAGGCAGCGGGGGATGGAGGAGGGGGCCTGGGCAAGGTGGGAAGCCCTGGAGCCCCCGCTGTCTTCTGCCAGGGCCTTGGACATCGCCGCGGGCCCCCTCGCTGGGGAGGGGAGAGCCCAGAAGGCGGGGAATGATGATCCATCCATCCCAGGGTCTCCCACAACGTTATCAAGGCACCGTCCCTGGAAAGGCCCCCTGGGGTAGGGTAGCCACGGGAGTCCCAGGTGGAGCATACTTGGGCTCCTGACTCTTTGGGTCTCTGGGAGGCCTTCTTAGGCCCTTGTTTCGCTGAGTTGACCTGCGTGGTCAACGCTTGGGGATCGAACGATCACAGTCACCATCTGAGTAAAGAAGCGCATCCTCCCTGGGATCAGGGGTACCTGTCCTGGCACTGCCTCTGCTGCCCCCACCCCACCCGGTCTCTGCCTTGCAGGACGTTCTGTGCCGATCCCAAATCTTCCCTTCTTTCTTCCTTTCTCTCCCATACAATTTCATTGTTATGCCTACAAATGTCACCTGGTAACACTAGGTCAAGAAGTCATCAAAGACCAGTATCGTCTGGCAACTGCAGGACATTAGCCTTTCCAAGGCAGTCTGGACCACGTGGTGTCCCCAGCCCTCATACCAGCAGATCCATCCATCTGTGTCATCCATCTGTGTCCCGGGCACTACGAAGTCAAAGCCCTGGTGTCATCCTTCACTATTACTCTAATAGCATTTTTTTTAAGATTTATTTATCTTTAGAGAGGAAGGGGAGGAGAGAAGGAGAGAAATATCAATGTATGGTTGTTCAATGTATGGTTGCCTCTTGTGAGTCCCCTGCTGGGAACTGGCCTGCAACCTGGGCATGTGTCCTGACTGGGACTCGAACCTGATCGTGTGGTTCCCAGGCCACGCTCAATCCACTGAGCTATACCAGCCAGGACCCTCACTATTACTCTTAAGAGACCCTACTCTTCAAAGCCCAACTCAGTGCCTCCTCACCTCCAGGAAACCTTCCCTGATCCTGCAGCTAGCAAACCGGATCCTTCGCTCTTTTACCTGGGATTCCAGGCATGTGCATTTGTGTCCTATATCTCCCATAAGACAGTCAGCTCCCAAAAGGCAAGCTCCAGGTGAAACTTTCTGGTCCCTCAGCACCCAGCCTAGCACCTGACACACACTTGAGTAGGAAGCAAGACAAATACAAAATATCTTGATAATCAACAAATCTTGTTGATTCTCCCTTCACAGTGCCCTTTGTGATTGGTTGCTCCTCTCAGGCTAGCCCGTGCTCATCTGGTTTACTGCAGTACCCCATAATTCCCATCGTTCATGGGGGGATACATTCCAAGCCCCCCAGTAGATTCCTGAAACCGGGGATGGTATTCCCGGTTTTTCCTATTCATACATAGATTTTCACTTAAAGGAAGCACTGTACGGCTTCTGTTTGGCATACCCAAATCTCCAGTGTCACTGCTTTTGCAGTTTGGGGCCATTATTAAATAAAATAAATGTTCCTTGAATACAAGCACTGCAGTGCCAATACAGTGACAGTGGTTCTGATAACCTAGGCGGCTACTAAGTAACTAATATTCATGTCTACAGCGTGAATATACTGGACAAAGGGATGATTCACGCATCCTGGGTGGAATTTCATTACACTACTCAGAACAGCATGTGATTTAAAATTTATGAATTGTTATTTCTGGAATTTTCTATTCAATATTTTCATACTGTGGTAGAAGATAGGTAACTAAAACTGCAGAAAGTGAAACCATGGATAAGGGGGGGACTACTGTATAACCACAGACTCCAGGTTCCTGAGCGATAGACTCTTCCTCCCACCAATGAAGGCTGCTCACTCCTTCCCCCAGAAGAGTTTCTGTAAATGATTGAGTTTCTCAATAGCTAGATCTTTTTTTTTCTGTTGGTCCAAGAACATAATAAAGGAGATATCCTTATTTATCTAACTAACTGATTCCCAGGAACACAGACCCCCACACCCAATGGCTACCAAGGAATGTGTATCATGGAATGAAGCCACATCCCACAAAGCTACCCATCAAGTGGGACCAAGTTACACGGACCTTCTGAACAACCTTAAAACTCTTATTTCATCCTCTAGTTTCACTCCATTACATGCTGATGTATGTGATGACAGTCTCAGAGCCTAAGGACAGGTTTTCCCAAAATCTCCTCTCTTGTTGCCAGTCTGAATCCATCTTAGATGGCAGTTTCCCCAGAGAAAGATGTCCCAATCTGTCACTGCATCCCTCAACTCAGAGGGCACCTGATAAGTCCCAGATTCCTGCAGTCTTGCTCTTTGTGCTAAATTTAGGTTGTTTTCTTGAGTGTAGCACATGTGGAGAGCCGGCCTTCGGGAGAACTGTGCACCTGCTCTCCTGTACCCACAGCATCTGCTCTAACCCCTTCTTCAGGTGCTCAGTCCACTGAGCTTGACTGAGGCTCTCAGTTGGCTCTCACCCTCACATACGCACCCCTCCTAGCACGTGAGCTGACCTCCAACTTGCCTCTGAACATCAGGACCCTGGGCGCCCTGCCCTCCCCTCCTTTCCTCTCACTCTTTCTTATGTCCTCACCTTCCACCCACTCAGGTTCACTGTCAGCTCCTTCTCAGATTCCCCAGGAATCCACTGCACCACTGTTGTTCCCTGTCCCCGCTTTTTACTCTGTTCAGCTCCACAGGCTCCTGCGGCCCCAAGAACACCTTCCCTGTCAGTGCCCTTGACCCATATTCCCTCTCTTGCTCCTCTTTGACTTCGAAGGAGAATCATTCACTGCAGATCCCTTTATTTCAACACAATTCACTTGACTCTCAGTTCCTGAAGGTCTGCCTTCTGACCCTGTCACCTCCCGGAAACTGCTCTCCTAGAAGTCCCCTGGGTCATTCCAACTCCAGATATAAGCGTTTGCTATTTCCTGGCTCTGTCTGGGGCTTTGCAAACAGTATCCCTCAGCCCATATACTCTCCTCTCTTGAAACATGGATCCTTGTCACCTTCCACGGGCCAGTTCTCCAAGGAAAGCTTCCCCATGATGGCCTTTCTTGTAGCCCTTCCCCATCCCACTCTCCTCCCAAGAGACCAAATGTGTCTACCTTGCACATTGACAAATAATCCATTTCCTTCTTCAGTGGCAAAGGTTGCTCTTCATTTAGTTTTACCCCACACAGAGACTAACAGTACCTGCCACCTAACAAGAATCCCACTCCTATATACTCTCAGGTGAATGATCTGCCTGTATGTTTCCTGAGGACATAATGAAATAGGCTGGAAACAAAGAACTGAGCAGTTTGCTTCAGCCAGTCATAAATCTCCAGTCATAAAGAAACTGGAGTTAATTAGAGTAAATTTCCTGGGTATCAGCATATTGGCTTTAATTAAAAATTCATTGAGACATCCTATTGGGGGAGCCATATAAAAGATAAGCACGTTGGAGCAATCTGTCTAAGAAACAAAAAAGTCTGCAGTTTGACCTAGGATGCCACCATTATGCTGGGGCTGAACTCATTACCTCAGATGATAAACTGCAACTTGATGAGTGGGAAAGGAATCGAGTTTTCAGCAGGAAATGCTTTAAAATTGGAAGATATTTAAAATAGCCCATAGCCAAACAGATTTTGTACATAATGCAGAGAGCATCATCTTTTTCTGCTAAATGGTTCTTAAGTTAATCAACAATTTTTTAACATAAGCAAACTCCGTAAGGATAAACCCCCCATCACCTTTGGTAGATGAGATTGGCCCCTCTGCAAAACTGGCTGAACTACACTTATCTTCTCTCCTTGTTTTCTGCTGCCTGGAGAATCAGCAGCATTTAAGGAGCCAGTCTGATGACTCAGCTCATAAAACAATGTGTGGCCGCAAAGATGATGTTTATTCCAGAGCATTCTGGAGGCTCTCTCTACTGAAGTCGGCAAGCAGCAGGCAAGTGACACAGGCTGCTCATTCTCCCCAGACCTTCTGGCCTTGGTGCCAGAGCAGCCCTCATTTCCCTCCCCCGGCGGTTGACCTCATCTGATGCTCCATCCAAGCAGAATAGTGAGAAAACTTCAGAGAAATGAAGTAGGGATAGAGGCAGGTCCAGGGGAAGTGCAGGCGACAGGGCTGACATTCTGCCTGATCTGGATCAGGAGCTGCCTGCAGCCAGAGCTCAAGCCCACGTGCAATCCAGGGCAGGCAGAGAGGCGGCTCCCAACTCATCTCTGCCCTGCTGGGTCCCCCTAGGAGTGTGTCTGCTCAGGTTGCAGAGCTAGTTTTCTTCGTGGCCAAGAGAGACGCCTAAACTAGTCTCAGTTCACTAGCACTCCTTATGCTCCCCTCAAAGCAACAACTTTTAGGAAACCTACTCTCAGGAGGCAACATTGGAACAAAGACTGACCAGAGCATATCAGCCCAGAGATGGCTGACAGTGTCCTGGTCCTTTCACATGAAGAGACCCAAGTGACTAAGAGGATATTGTTAGTGTTTTCCTTTAAATTTTTTTGCATCAGAGTATCTTTGCAGTGGGGAGGG